CAAATGCCGTCATCACACGTATCATAAAAGACTCACTGCCAGATGGCGTAGCTGTGGCTAAAGAGGCTCGTAGTGCCATTGCAAAGGCAGCGTCAGTTTTCGTCTTGTATACCACATCTACAGCAAACAGTTTAGCACAGAAGAATAAAAAGAAGACTGTCAGTGCACAAGATGTCTTTAATGCTATGAAAGAAATGGAGTTTGAAAAATTTATAGAGCCTTTGCAAGAAAGTTTAGAAGGTATGTATATATATAATCAAAAGATATTTTTATGTGGCTTTACACCTTGTGTGTGTATGCATGTGGGGATATGCTCAATGTATGTGTATAGAGGGACTGAGACTTAGTGAGAGTAAGAAAGTGAATGAGGGTATATACAGTAGATTCTTCAGGAATGTGTTTTACCCTTAATTTGGCATTTTTCATGTAATTACTACAGCCAGTACTTTGCAAAAGACTGTATTTCCAATTTTTCTCTAGAATGCTGTAATTTGTCTATACTGACAGAGCCTCTTCTTATGTGAATCCATTGACAATTTTCTTCTGAACAGTCCACAGAAAGTCTCAGCAGAACAAGAAGGAGCAGAAAGAGGCCAAGGCGAAGGCAAAGAAAGCAGAAGAGGAGAAGACTCCGGACATGCCAGAGGAAGAATCCTCAGAGGTGACTGTCATGGATACTTCAGAAGCTGACAAGGAGAATGGGGAGCAGGAAGCGGGTTGATCTTTTAATGCTAGATAAAAGAAAGAATTTTTTCTTGTTTTTCCAAAGTATACAAGTTTTTGGCACTTTTCATTTCTGATGCATTGTTATATGAATCGGAATGATATGCTCTTGAATATATTTATGGTTTTATTTTGTATATTGTGTACTCCCAGTAACAAAAGATTTCCAGTAACCAGTGATGTACTCAGCAAAATTATGCATGAACAAGAATTTTGACTGAATTGGCAAACTATTTAAGAGTGAGAGAGGGAAAAAAAGAGTATTTTTGTAAACTGAAAATTCTTAGAATAATAAAGATTTCAGAATATCTTTTTCATTTTAATTTTGTGATTTTTTAACCGTATTTTGTAGTTCTTAGAATAGTAAGTGTAAGAGTAATGAAATATATTTCAGAAATGCTCTCCTGGCAGTATGCAATATTCATATATCATGCTTTGGTTAATATTTTAATTTTACTGGAAAGAATTGATACTTTAGATGGGGTATGAATCTTAAGATATTTATAATAATCATAAAATCTGCCATTTTCTTTTTATTGTTATTGTTATTGCTGTCATGACCATTGTCTTTTATTATTAAAAATCATATTGCATAAGTGGACACATGTTTCAAGGGGACTTTGGTATTCCAGTATAATTCCACCTTTGTGTTGAAAATGTCTTGATTCATACATTAGAATATAAGGAGGGTTTTCATAAACAAACTCTTTAGTAGTGGCTTATTGATGTGTGAATTCACTAGAAATTGCTCCATATATCATATATTCATAGTTTGCTATGGTTGATCAATAGGCATAGACAATATAAAAAAAATGAAGATTATGACACTGTTAATAAATACATTTTTTCCCCCACCAAGGAGACCATTCATCCTGTAAACAGTCCTTAATAAGTTCCAACCCATGTGATAGACCAATGGAACAGCGTATCTAACATAGGAAATATGAATTTCATTGAGTTCTTTATCTGTTTCATGCTCTCCAGAGTAAAAATTCATGAATGCATCCTTGGAGTCTGATATTGCATGGCAAAATATGTTATTTTTGGCACTTAATATTTGTAGCAGTGTTGTATATATGGGGCTTATATGTATATTACAGTTTTTGAAAATAAGTCGAGATCAAAAGCAAATGAGAAATTAAAGTACTTTAAGAAAACTATTAAATAAAAAATAAAGAATAAAAGGCAGTATTACATATGTGCAGATACTGAAGATTAAATGTCAATACAAAATGTTTAACACAGGTCTTTGAATACTGTGCACATAAACACATAATTATTTGGAATGTAACATAAACTTCTTGGATATTAAGGACTGATATTACCATAATTTTCCAAAAGTTAGGCTGCCAAGTGATGAAGTATGATTCAAAAAATATATAAAGCTTTTCTCATCACCATAAACATCATCATCATCATCATCCTTCTCCTCCTCTTCCTTCTTCTCCCTGTCCTCCTCTTCTTCCTCCTCCTTTCTCTCATCCTCTCCTTCTCCTTCTCATCCTTCTTCTCCCCCTCCTCCTCCTTCTCCACATACTCCTTCTTCCTCTCCTCCTCATCCCTTTTCCTTTTTTTCAACTCCTCCACTTCCTCCTCTCCCTTCTTTTTTGCTCTTTTTCATCTTATTTTGCACCTCCTCATTCTTATTACTATCATAATTATTTTTTCTCCTTCCTCACCTCCTCCTCCTCCTCCTCCTTCTCCACATCCTCCTTCCTCTCCCCCCTCCTCCTTCCTCTCCTCTGCCTCCTCCTCCACATCCTCTTTCTTCTTCCACTCCTCATCTTCATCCTCATCCTTCTCATCCTCCTCTTCATCCTCCTTCTCATCCTCATCCTCATCCACGTCCTCTTTCTTCTTCCACTCCTTCTCATCCTCCTCCTTTGCCTCATCATCATTATCATCATCATCCTCATCCTCCACATCCTTCTTCTTCCTCTCCTTCTCATTATCATTATCATTATCATCATCACTCCTCATCCTAATCCTAATACTCCTCTCCTCCTCTGCTCCTCCTCCTTTCTTTCTTATTCCTTTTCTTTTTTTCTTTTATTCCTTTTACTTTCTTTCTTTCTTAATTTATCCTTTTCTTTTCTTCTTATGGTCATTCTCATCCTATCCTTTTGCTTGTTCTCTCTTTTCTTCCTTCTTCTTCTTCTTCTTCTTCTTCTTCTTCTTCTTCTTCTTCTTCTCCTTCTTCTTCTTCTTTCTTCTTTCTTCTTCTCCTTCTCCTTCTCCTTCTCCTTCTCCTTCTCCTCTCCTTCTCCTTTTCCTTTTCTTTTCCTTTTCCTTTTCCCTTTTCCTTTTCCTTTTCCTTTTCCTTTTCCTTTTCCTTCTTCCTCCTTCTCTTCTCCTTCTCCTTCTCCTTCTCCTCCTCCTTCCCCTCCTTCCTCCTCCTCTCCTCTCCTCCTTCTCCTTCTTCTCTTCTTCTTCTTCTCTTCTTTTCCTCCTCCTCCTCCTCCTCCTTCTCTTCTTCTCTTCTTCTTCTTTCTTTCTTACTTCTTCTTCCTTCTTCTTCTTCTTCTTCTTCTCTTCTTCTTCTTTCTTCTTCTTCTTCTTCTTCTTCTTCTTCTCCCCCCTCCTCCTCCTCCTCCTCTCTCTCCTCCTCCTCCTCCTCCTCCTTCTCCTCCTCTCTCCTCTTCTTTTTGCTCTTTTTTCTCTTCTTTTGCTTCCTCATTATTATCTATCATTATTATTTTTCTTTTTTTTTTTTCTTCTTTACCTCCTCCTTTTCCTTCCTTCTCCTCTTCTTTCCCTCTTCTCCTCCTATTTCACTTCTTTCTCCTTTCTCCTCTCCTCCACCTCTTCCTCCTCTTCGTCCTACTCCTCTTTGTTCCTTCTCCATTTTGTTATTCCTCCTCCTCCTCCCTTTCCTCCTTCCCCTTCCTACTGCCTTTTTTCTACTCCCTTTTCTTCTTTTCTTTTCTCCTCCTTCATCATCATCTTTTTCTCCCCTCCCTCCTACTCCTTCTCCACTCTCCTCATTTCTTTTTCTTCTTCTCCACCTCCTCTTCCCCCTTTCCCTCCTCCTCCCCTTTCTTCTTCTTTTTCTTTTTCTTCTTCTCCTACTTCTCATTCTTCTTTTCCTCCTCCTATGCCTACTCCTCCTTCTCCCCTCCTCACCTCTTCCTCCTCCTCCCCTCCTCCCCTTCCCCCCTCTCTCTCCATCTCCCCCTTGCCCTCCCCTTCCTCATCCTCATCCCCCTCCCTCATCATCATCATCATCAATCAATCATCATTCATAATCATCAATGCCTCCTTTTTTTCTCCCTTTTCTTCTTCTTTTTTCTTTCTTCTTCTTCTCCTTCTCCATTATCATCATCTTTTTCTTTCTCCTCCCCTCCTCCTACCTTCTCCACTCTCTTTCATTTTTTCTCTTCTCCCCTCTCTTCCCGCCTTTCCTCCTCCTCCTTTTCTTGTTCTTTTCCTTTTTTCTTCTTCTCCTACTTCTCATTCTTCCTCTCCTCCTCCTATGCCTACTCCACTTTCTCCCTCCTCCTCCTCCTCCCCCCCCTCCTCTCTCTCCATCTACCTCCTCCCCCCCTCTCTCTCCGTCTCTCCCTCCCCTCCCCTTCCTCATCTCATCATCAATCTCCTCTCCCTCCCTCATCCCCATCTTCCTCATCAATCATACATTCATAATCATCATGCCTCCATACCTCATCTCTCTCCCTCCCTTTCCTCTGCTCTTTCTCTTCACCCTCCTCTTTCTCTTGCTCCACCTCCCGCCGCCCTTCCTTCCGCTCTTTCATCTCTCCCTTCGTCTTCCCTCTTCCTATTTATCTACCACCTCCTTCTCCTTCTCTTTTCCTCTTCTTTCTCTGCTCCCCTATCCTTCTTTTTTTCCTACCCCACCTCCTCTTTCTTATTCCCGTCCTCCTCCTTCTCGCCCCCTCCTCCCTCTCCTCCCCCTTCTTCTTTCTCCTCCTCCTCCATATAATAATATTATAAATAAATAATTAATAATGTTAATGATAATAATAGGTATTGTTTCCCCAACAAAATACAAATGCAATATGTATAAATTAATGCCTGAAATATGAAAGTCCCCTTGAATCATATAGATTTTATACATGCTGAGGTACCGGGTCTCTCAGTTCTATATTTTTGGGTGGAGAGATGTTTTCTTTACGTATTGTTATATGTCCTTTGCTGTATATTGCGTTTGAAATGGTGTATTTTTTCTTTTTTATAAATTTTTGTATGGCAGAAGTAGTTACTGCCATCTCTCTCTCTCTCGTCTCTCTCTCTCGTCTGCTCTCTCTGCTCTCTCGTCTCCCGTCTCTCGTCTCTCATCTCCCTTCTCTCTCTCTCATCTCTCTCGTCTCGGCTCTCTCTGCTGCCTCTCTACTTTCTCTTCTCTCTCTTTTTATCTTTTCTCTCTCTCATCTCTCTTTTCTTTTCTTCTTCTTCTCCTTTCCTTCCTGTCTTCTCTTTGTTCTCTCTTAACTCTCTCTCGTCTTCTCATCTCTCTCGTCTGCTCTTCTTCATCTCTCTCTCTCTTCTCTCTCCTCTCTCTCTCTCTGCTCTGCGTTCTCGTCTCTCTCTCTCTTCTCCCCTTTCCCAGGTCAGCCCGCCCTCTTCTCTCTCTCTCTCTCTCTCTCTGCTCTCTCCGTCTCTCTTGCTTCCGTCTCCTCTTCTCCCTGCTCTCTCCTCGCCTCGTCTCTCTCCTCTCATCTCTCTTCTCTCTCTCTCTCATCTCCCCCTCTCTGCCTCTCTCTCCCTGCTCTCTCTCTCTCTCGCCCCTCTCTCTCTCTCCCTCTCTCTCTCTTCCTCCCGCTCTCTGCTGGCTCTCCCGCTCTCTCCTCGCGATTGAGTCCACCTCTCTCTCTCCTCCCCCTCGTCCTCTCTCCTGCCCCCTCTCTCCTCTTCCCCCGAGATGCGCCCGGGGATCGGAGGTAGTGTTGCGCCCGTATCGGCGGTCTGGCGTCTCGCGCCCGCGCTGCGGTTCACGGCCGAGGCTCCGTTCGACCAGTCGATAATGACACGGGCAGCCGACGCGTCTCCTTCCTTCCGTTCTCTCGTTCCCTCTTCTCCTCTCGGTCCTCGTCTCTCTCCATCATCTCTCTCTCATCCGCTCTCAATTCTCAGGGCGTCTCAACTCTTATCGGTCGTCTCTTCTGCTCTCATTCTCTCTCACTCTCTCTCCCTTCCTCTCTCCCCCCTCTCCCTCTCCCTCTCCCCTCTCTCTCTTTCTCCTCGTCTTCTTTCGGTTTCTCCCATCTTTCTCATCTTCTCCTCGCTCGGTCGTCTCTCTCCTCTTCTCCATCGTCTCGCTATCTCTGCTCGGTCTCTTCTCTCTCTGCTCGGTCTCTCGTTCTCTCGCGTCCTCGGTCCCGTCTCTATTCTCTCTCTCTCTCCCCTCGTCTCTCTCGTCCCTCTTGCTCCGCTCTCCCTTCTCCCTCTCCCGGTCTGCGCCTCTCTCCCTCGTCTCTCGATATCTCCGTCCCCGCTCGATCGTCTGCTAATCTTCGGGCTCCCTCGTCGTCATCTTATCCCTCCCCCTCGACTGTCGTCGGGTCTTCTATCTCCGTGGTCGCCCCCTTCGTCTCCTCGGTGCTCGCCTCCCCCTCTCTCGTCGTTCTCGTCGCTCGTCTGCGTCTCCGCAGCATCGATCTCCTCTCTGTATGTCTTTTGGTATGGTTTTTGCACCCGCTCCTCGGCTGCAATCTCTTTTACTCTCGCCCCCATCTCTGCGTCTCGTCTCCGCTAGCTACTACTGGGTGTTCGGAAGGAATGTATAGAGACGCCCCTCATCTCTCATCTCTAATCGAAGCCGTCTCTCTGTCTGCTCGCCCGTCGTTCTCTCTTCGTGCTCGCCACCCGACTGTTTCTCTCGTTCTCGCCCCCTCATCGTTCTCTCGCTCTCTCCAGCCGTCTTCTCTCAGCCCTTCATCCCCCGTTGCTGCTTCATCCTCTATCCCCCCCTCTCTAACCCACTCTGTCCACCCGCCCGTCCATCGATTCCTCTCGACTCCCCTCTCGCCCTACCCCTTCTGTCTCCGCCGTCGGCCGCCCTCCCCCGAAGCGGTCCACCCATTCTCTCTCTTAATCCGTTCTCTCACCTCGCTCTCGATCCCTTCGTCATCGCTCTCTCTGAGACTCTCTCCGAGTCGTCTCTCGGCGTCTCTCTCTCACTACTCCCTTCTATCGGTCTGTAGTCCTCGTCTCACTCAGTCGGCTCTCCTATAGGGCCGTCCCGTCGGTCCTGTCCCCGTGCCTCGGATTCTCTCGTCCCTCTCCGGCTCTCCCGTCTGCCGTCTCCGTCTCGGTCCTCTCTCGCCTCTCTCATCCCTCCTCTCCTCGGAGGTCCCTGCCTCAGTCGTCTCTCCTCTCTCTGACCTCATCTCTCTGCTCTCCCCGTCGTCCCTCCCGCGGCGGCCTCTCTGCTGCTTTGCTCTTCTCGCTCAGCTGTCTCTTCGTCTCTCTCTCTCTGCTAGGTGCTCTCTCGTCTCTCTCCAGATCTCCTCACTCTCTCCTCTCTCGGGACCTCTCCGCCCCCAGTCTCTCATCTTCTCTCTCTCTCTCTGCTCTCGCGTGAGCTTTCGGAAATCCCTTCTGTTGCTCGATCTGTCTCTCTCTTCTCGTCGTCTGTCCTGCTCTCTCTCTCTGTCCTTTCCTCTCCCCCATTCATCATCCACTCTCATCGTGGAGTCTCTGATCTGGATTCTCTCCCTCATCGCCTCTCTCCGGTTCGGCCACCCCGTCCTCTCCCGCTCTCTCCGCGTCCCGACGTCTCCTCCTCGTGGCCTCCCTCCCTCGTCTCATCTCTCTCTCTTCAATCTCGCTCGGTCGCCTCTCTCCATCTCGTCTCTCATGTCTCTCTCTCATCTCTCTCACGCGGTGGGTCATGTTCTGAGTCTCGTCTCTCTCTCTCCACACACACAACAACACACACACACACAGACACACACACACACACACACACACACCACACACACACACACACACACACACACACACACACACACACACATGAGTAAATACAAATTTCGTTTCGCCAAAGAATAAATATTCCAGGCAGAGTCTCCTCGTTTTCTTTGTGGAATTCTATGGCTTTTAAGTGATTTTAACGACACAGAGAAACTTTTTAACATGGAAAGTATAAGTTACCATTGATGACTGCAAGGTGGCCATGATCTGAGTATTGTTCGTAATTTGTTTGTGGATAAGAGTGTGCTTTCAGCCACTGCTACAACTCGCGGGATTCATATAATTCAAGAACAGGGTATTCTGATATCTAAGTATATGAAACATTAGATGACACCCACTCCTGTGTATGGCATATGAGGCGACCCCGAACCACCTCCTCCACTCGTCACACACGCACGCATACGCACACACGCACAATAGCACGCACGCACACGCCCGCACACAAGAAATGCACATCACAACAATGGAACTTCCTGCGTACAGTCTACAATTCTAATACTAATGTTGTTGTTTTTTCTACAGTGCTTAGGGAAAGTCAAGAAGCTGAAAAGAAACAAAGGGAAGATAAAGCTAAATCTTAGGAAGAAAATGAAGAAGAGAAAGCGAGCTTCATGAACGAAAGGTCCTTAGAGGTTACTGCATGTCAAAGGTATTTGACATGCAGTACTTTCAGTCTGCCCTTCATTATGGCAACGAACTGTGCTTATACGATGTGACTTTTGTTCGAGTTGTGTGTCTTCTGTGATTTATTAAATAATGTGCACCACATGTTTACACAGATTGATCAAGCCTAAATACTGTGACCCAGTTATGCATTTAATACTCTTTGTATGTCAAAGGTGACTATTTCACGTGTAACTTTTGAGATAAAGTGGGTTTTACAGTAAAATGACATCTACATGCAACATTCATATTCTTTTATTTTAGTACCATTACCTTTCCAAGTTAAATCAATACGTTTATCTCTGATTAACCACACAGGGGGAAAAGGTGCTCTGAGTAGACGGAAGGCATAATTGCATTACAAAATAATTCCCTTTTCTTCAGTTGGCATAATCATAATGGTAACTTAATCTGCACAGTGCGACAGTTTATAACGCTGATTATTCTTGGTTTACCACACTCATTTTATAATATTTCCAGTGATGATGATATTGGGTGACACAAGTGGATAAGACCTAATTTGGTGTAGAAATAACCCTGGAGTGATAGGCATAATTAACGTTTTCTGATCGAGGTGGATATATTGATTACCTTCTACTCCAACATCCCCTCAATGAAAGAATGATCATCAGAACACCAAAAGTAGAGACTCGAAAAAAGAGGCGGACATCTTAAAAACAGATAAATCCCACACCTACGAGCTGCCCTAAATCAAGCCTTAAACAAGCGAAAGATGGCTTTCAGGCTTACACGAGTCAAATCCCAAGGTCTAGCAAGAAGGAACGAATGGGCTATGTGCAATGTGCCAGAAACTAATAAGCACCTTTGACATAAACCCCCAGAATCTGAAGCAATGTTTACTGATGATTAAGAACAGCAAAGTGTACGAGGAAGGATCTTGAAGTTACTTTCCCTCAGAAGAGATATTGCAATATTGAAAACGACTCTTCGCCGCGGTTTCAAATTTAATCGGAACCTGAAGGACTGACTTGACCAGTTCATCCAGACGTGAAAGCTACCACTTACCTATGATTTTAAAATTTGTTACGCAAGGCAGTGGAGTGAAAAAAAACGATGCTTTTTTTTACATTTGACCTTGTGCTGTCTGTATACAGAAATACATCGCTCGCAGCCCTTTTACTTCGTACAATTCCTTAAAAGGCGTCACACGGTCCCCTCTTGTGTCAAAATGGCGTCCCATTAACTTGTGCGCTTTGAAAAGCCGGAATGGCATGCTATTATGATGGAATATCTGGTTGTTTGCGCAAAATACCTTTCTTCAGAGCCTATAGAAAGTAACTAAAACACTGACAGTGAAACCTGGAGGATCTACAATGCAAAACTCTTAATAGCCTTCGCCTATTAAAAAAAATGATAATGATAAAGAGTAAAATAAAAAGTCGATCTTGTATGACACAGCGAGCCATGCAGGTGCCTTTATGATAATGACTGAAGAACTGATCAGGATAAAGACTTGCAAGTGGATGACTGCTAAATTCAAATCAAATGTTTTTGCATTCCATTTCCAGTGCTACAATAATATGCATAAAACCTGCAGATCAAATTATCCTTGAAACAGTCAGCATTAATATTTAAAAAAAGAAACCATTATACAGTGATAGATATTGACTTGTAATATTGCAGCGCATTGCAGGTTGTTATAAGGTGGAATTTGTTGCGCTTAGAGGAAGTGAGGAGAAGCACACAAATACACACACACTTATACACACACGTACAGACTCGTACGCACACAACCGTAGGATGTTTCCCTTCAAGGTCTATGTAAGTACAGGTCTCGTCACTTCGGAGTTCTGCGCAGCTTTGGGTGATAAGGCCTATGGCGTCACTAGGCATGAACTGGGTGGGAAGGAGATAATAGAAAACGGTAGTAAATGAGCAAATACTTAAGTAGTTTTAGATGCCGGTACGTTGAACGATTTGCATATTGGACAGATTTTACAGGCGATGATTATCAGCGATTGTTTGTTGGTCTGTATCACATGTTTTAAGTGAAATTCAGGTTTGTAATTCTCATGCTGCAGCTTAGATCCCAAATTTTGCAACCAACCACTGAACAACTACTGGGCATTAAGGCTTTGCCCGCGCCAGTCAGTCAAGCGAGCGAAAACGGGAGAGGGAGATCCTTACGGCTCTACCTCACATTCAAGACCACATGGTTAGCGTCGAACCCCGAGGCTCTTACACCTAGTGGCGTCATGCGCGAGACGGACGAATTTGAGTCGCTTAGTGACGAGACCTGTACATATAGATCTTGTTTCCCTTTCCTGTCCCACGACTGAAGTGAATGGAACAAAAAAAAAAAAAAAAAAAAAATCAATAAGCCGCGAGAGGATCACGGCTTTACGTAAAGTGTGACGTAAATCAACAAAAGTGTTATTCATTTATTAACTTTTTTTTTTGTCTCATAGATATAATAAAACGTCTTTATACAGCTCTTATTTCTTGTTGATATATATATATATATTATATATATATATATATATATATATATATATATATATATATATATATGTGTGTGTGTGTGTGTGTGTGTGTGTGTGGTGTGTGTGTGTGTGTGTGTGTGTGTGTGTGTATATAATATATATATATATATATATATATATATATATATATATATATATATATATATATATTATATATTATATATAATATATAATATATATATATATATATACGTATATATGTATATTATGATTAGTAATATGAAGTAAAACCGGTTGATAATTATCTTTTAACAGTCCTAAGATCACCATTTTTTTTTACCTAAGCCACTAAATATAATACGCAGAACGATGCAAACTTAGAACTGCCTTCTGACTATTCAGTTATGTAAAACAATACTTACGCCGGTATTACGAAATGTAAATGTAAAATTATTTCACAGACTAGAATCAATACCTTAAAAGATGATTACAAAAAAATATTTAGTCTATAAGTGAGAACATTCAAGTTTTATTAGTAGTAGAGATCCCTGAGGGACCAAGAAAATATTCGAAATAAAGGTTCTGGATACAACTGAAACCCCACAGATAAAGAGTGCATCCGTATCCCCCGACTCCGAGTCAAAACAACAATGAACATTTACGTAAGGAGGGTCCTGTCGTCACTCCGGCAATATGAGCCAATATTCTCAAGGAACACCCCACAAACCCTGCAGAGATATGGGGTGAAGGAAAGTCCTCTCCTAAGGTTCGCCTCGACGGGCAAGACAGTGAAATCACCCACGAAATCCAACGCCATGAAGAGATACGGAAAGCTAGTCGCGATTGGGTTCAGTATGGGAGCCATAGGAGGGGCGGCTTACATGTACGAAATCTACAAGAAGATCGTGACGCCCGTGTCCAACCCCTCTGAGGGCAGCGAGTACCTGCTCAAGGAGAAACCGCCCACTTTCAAGCCAGCGAGATCTGTTGAGTACCCTTGGATTTGTTTTAGATTTTTTCAGTAGTTTTTTTCCTATATCATTATTATTCGCCAGTGCCCTAGGAAGGGTAACAAACCTTCGCCTCACATTTGGCAAGGCAGAGGCTGTAGCCTTCCTGTCTATTAAAGAAAAAAATGGGAATGGTTTTAGTTTCGCACAGCCATTCTGTCTTGTAATTAGTATTCCTTGCTTCAATTATCAATACTGAGATACTCATGAATCTCTTGTTATTTTCTAACACAAATGAAAGGACTGGTATTATTCATGGAGGGAATGCACCTTTCTGAGAGCCAGATTGTAGAGTATTTTTCATTTCATTTTTTCGTGTGTGCCCAGCCAGACGCAATGTTTCAACTGTGAAAGGCACCACCATAATAGACGTCACATGCCTCTCGTTTGAATAACACCAGGCATAGTACTTCTCTAAGCAATATGGAATACAAGGACTTATTCCCTGTTTCAACAAAGTTTCTTGTTTCATGGTGTATATTTTCCAAGAAAGAAGCACAGAAACCAATATATGAGCTTCAAAATTATTAACAATGGTCTGACAGGCCATCAGCATGAGTGGAGATCCTTAGTTTCAAATTAGCCATTACTTTTTTATTTGTTTTTGGTAATGAAAAACAAATTATGTAATTATGAATTCAAAATGTTCTATATAAAATCTCTAATATAACTGTTGTTGACTTTATAGATATTGATAATTTCTTTAAGCAAATTACAGATAATAATTTTAAATTGCACCATGGAAAACCCGAAGATACCCAAAGAAAAAGAATGGTCTGGGTTGTGTTACCACTGGCTACCCTCAGCCCCCAGATTTCATTTTTAAGTGGATTCAGATAGGGAACAATCAAAATCAGTACAATTTTTTAATAGCATTTTAAGTGAGGAAAGGAATGAGTTTAATAATATTCTTATGTTAGTTTATTTTCTTTGACAGATTCGAACTCCAACAGACACAACTGGCCTGAAGATAACCTTGTTCCAGTATCAGACTTGCCCATTCTGTTGCAAAGTCCGTGCTTTTCTTGATTATTATGGCTTCAACTATGATGTTATTGAAGTTAATTCAGTGACTCGGGCACAAACACGATGGACAGATTATAGGAAGGTTCCTTTCCTTGTTGTAGAATTACCAAATTCTGATAAAGTTCTGGTAAGTTTAAATAATCTTGTATGTTAAAAGATCCTGTCATATAATAATTCATGTTATTCTGTAACTGACATACTATTAAAGAGCAACTTTGTTTTTAATCCACAGCAACTTAAGGACAGTTCAATGATTGTATCAGTAATGCAGTCATTCCTAGATAACAAATCAGAGAATTTAGAAGATCTAGTCAAATGCTACCCAACAATAGAGTTCTCTGACGATGAGGGAGAGAAGCGCTTAGAGATTATGAATCGTTATTTCTTGATGTATGGAAAGCATCCCCCAGGACGCTCCAAAGATGACATTGTGTAAGTTTGATGTACTTCCTCTAAAATATTTTTCTTACAAAGTATCTACACTTTTATTACTGATACAGAAGTATTTTATAATTGAGTTATTCTACTCATGATATCTATTTTTTGTCTGTAGATAAAATTATCCTAAGCTTCTAGATGATTGTAAAATGGTTAAGCGTAGTCTGAGTTGTGGTATTTCATCCAAAGGTTATATAAACAATTACCTTTTCTCATGTAACTGTTGTTTTGATAAACAAATGAGATACACAAGTTTTTAGATTTAGAAATATTAATATAGGGATAAAAAAGGTTCAACAAAAAATCTTATATTACTTACTGAATTGAGTTTACCATCTATAATGTTACGCATTTCTAATTTATTTTCAGAGACGAAAGGAAATGGAGAAAATGGGTCGATGATGTTTTAGTACATGTACTGTCACCAAATGTGTACCGCACTCCACAAGAATCATTCCAGGCTTTTCAGTGGTTCTCAAAGGTGAGATAAACAAGTATAAAAGAATGATAAATAGAGTTTACTCTCTCTCTCTCTCTCTCTCTCTCTTCTTCTCTCGTCGATCTTCTCTCTCTTCCTTCCTCTCTCTCTCTC